TTAGATATCAATTAAAAATAATCTCTTCCAGGAAGTCTTTCATAATTAGTTTAGAACAGTTTGCCACACCATACAATTCTCTTCTTTTGGCTTTTTAAAAAATAACAGTCATTTATAAAACAGCTGAAGTACCATATTTTGCTGTATATAGGGTGTATGTATATACTTAAGTTCAGGTTAACATGTCTTTTCAATTAGATTATAAATCTTATAAACCTTAGTGTTGCACATTCTATATTGTGAACTTTCTGGGCATTTGAATGAGGATAATATGAGCATCAGTAGTGTGGATTAAACTTGTTAAAATTCTGCTTGTTCAAAGATACGTGTGTGGATATATATTGGATTGGCCAAAAAGTTCGTTCGGGTTTTTCTGTAGCATGGTCCTAAAATCCGAACGAACTTTTTGGCCAACCCAATATATTTGAACTTTTTAAAGGTAAACCTAAATTTTTCAGATTTGGTGCATGTTGCCACACAACTTCTCAATGATCAATGCTAATAGACGGGCACATTGGGGGAGAATATCCAAAACTGTGGATAAATCACAATATTTTCTACTTGCTTTGGAAAATAGATTATTTTTTACAGTATGCCTTAAGAGTGAGCATACATTTTTTAAAAAAATAGCAATAATATCTAATGTTGGAGAAGTACAAGGAAATCAATATTTTCATACACTGCTGGAAAGTGAATTTGTATAAGCTTTCCATAGGGCAGGTCAGCAATGCGTATCAACAGCCTTGTGACCCAGAAATTCCAACTCTATGAATTTATCCTAAAGAATTCACTAAGGATGTGTGCAAAGATTAGTTTAAAGGTTATCATAGCATTATTTATAAAAAGCAAGCAAAAAATGTGGCAACAGTATGAATGTCCAGCAACAGGGAACAGATTAAATGAATGAGCCTTCCTTATCTGTGTTTGAGTCCCAGTTCTAGCAATTATTAGCTGTATGACCAAGCAAGGTGCTTAATTTCTCTGGCCATCAGTTTTCTAATCTTTAAAATGGGGACAATAATAATGTCAATTTTTCTACGTGAAACAAGGTATTAAAATAGAACTAGTTTCCTGAGATGTCAATAAACCTCACTGGTATCTTTGGTGTAAATTTCCCATTGTGCCATTCTCTCATGGGGTTGTTGGGAGAATTGAGTGAGATAAGACACGTCTGGCACGTAAATAGGTGCTTCTTATTATTATGGTACTTCTATATGGTATAATATTCAGCCTTTAAAAATGGTGTTGCAGGTGAATTTTAACATGGAAAGATACTTGTAATGGATTTTGGGTTTGTTTTGTTTCTAAAGTAAAAATTCAATTTATTCATCTGTTTACCATACAGTACAAGAGAGGCAAAGTGTTTCACATCATAGATTTCACTTCCAACTCCTTGGAATGTTCATTTCTTTGGCTAAAAGGAGAAACTTGCTGGGAAAGTCAGGCAATTCTTAGGCAAGGTGAGGGATGGGTACAAGGAGGCTGTTAATTGCAAACTGAGTTTCTAGAACTGTCACCTGGAATCATAGGAGCCCCACTTCTGGACACTTGTGTCATCTCAGGCATCACCCCCACCACCCAGGCACAGTGACGCTTACTAGTGATTACCCTTGCTGTCCTCCTGGATGTGGCAGTGCCCGCCATACTTTCTCTTGAATTCAGACCTAATTTTCAATGTGTCCCCTTCCTTCACTGCAGGAGACCATGATTCTAATCAGGACCGTATCGTGAGTCCACTTGCCCTTCATGGAGTTGTACAGTCAGTCAGCAAAATACAGGGACTTCTTGTTCTGAATACACTTGACCAGGTTCAGGAAAACATTTTGCAGGTCTCCTTTGCCCTCCTTCTTGAACGTAAGGGCTATTGCTGTTGTACCTTTCAAATACTTTCTGGAGGTGACACACACTGCTCTGTCATGATGCTGACCCACTTGGAAACATCAGCTCCTTTGCTCTTCATTCCAGCATTATAGAGATCTCAAGTATGTTGGGTCAGTCAGTTCATAGTCAATGACAGATCCATCCTCTGCTCTTCTATCCTTTGCGAGGGCGACTATCAGCTTGCAGAAGTCATCAGATGTGTCAGAAGCAATGTCCTGGGACTTCCTGGTAGTCCAGTGGTTAAAAATCCACCTTCCAATGCAGGGGACATGGGTTCGATCCCTGGTCGGAGAACGAAGGTCCCACATGCCACGGGGCAACTGAGCCCACACACCTCAACTTAGAGAGCCCATGTGCCACAACTAGAGAGAAGCCTGCTCGCCGCAATGAAAGATCCTGCGTGCAGCAACTAAGACCCGATGCAGCCAAAAATAATAAATAAATAAGTAAATATTAAAAAAAGAAAAAGAAACAATATCCTTCTGCAGATCAATCTTGTACATTTTCTTGTAGACTGTTAATTTCCTGCAGCCCCTGGTTGGTCCCTGAGCAGGTGATTTCAATGAGAGAGTCTTCCTTTGTCACCAGCCCCTTCATGGAGGAGTCTTTCAACTTGGAATCCTCGTACTGAGTGGGTGTTTTCAGAAGGCCCCAAATCACCTTCTCCAGGTGGCTGGACAAGTCTGACTTCAGTGCTGATACAAGTTCCTTTTTGGTCCTTCTCTGATAGGCAAAAGTAATATTCTGTCTCTGTTCATTGCTGCAGTTGGTCAAAATGCTGACGATGGTGACCTCATCCACACCTTTAGTCTTGATGGCCGTTTCAGTGTTCATAGTGTCCCGCTCAGCATCCCAGTTGGTGTATGCTTTGACTGACCTGTCTACATTTGGGAGTGGATAGTGGTCAGTGGTCAGGTGGATAGTGTCAAACTTGCACAGAATTCTGTGAACAGTAGACATTTTGATAGAAGCTGGACCAGGAGCTGAGAGCTGTAAGTGGCCCCAGATGTGGAGCTGGAACGTGTTATTTAAAAAAAAACAAAAACTCAAACTGCAAAATAGTATCTGGAAAAATAAACACTGAAATATTTACTATGGTCATCTCTGGAGAGTGGGTGATGCTTTTTCCCCCATTAATTATGTTTTATACTGAGCATGTATTGATTGCTTTATAATGAGAAAGAAAGTGAGTCAATTTCTGTTGAAAAAATTAAAGATCAGGATGAATAGGTGGCGCACAGAGGATTTTAAGGGCAGGGAAACTGCTCCGTATGATACTGTAACAATGGATTTGTGTTATTATTCATTTGTCCAAACCCATAGGATGTATAACACCAAGAGTGAACTCTAATATGAGCTGTGAACTTTGGTTGATGATGTGTCAATGTCATTGAACCTTGGCTGTTTCCTCCATCTTCTAGCAAATGATTAGAAAACAACTGATTTCAACACTTTCTTCAGAAACATATAGTTGGCGAGGTAATATCTCCTTTAAAAGTCATATGATAAATTTTAAAACGTAATAAAAATTCAGACTATCTGCTTCATAAGAACATTTATTTGTCCAGCACGCTCCTCTCACTGCCTTTCTTGACCACCATCCATCTATAGTTTCGGCTAGAACCCTCAGGCCAACCTTTAGCTCTTTTTACTTTCTTATCATTTCTCCAGTCCGCCTCCTTGTCTTCATCCCTCCCTTTTTCGGTCAAACCCTTGTCATCTTTTACCTGGCCCGTGACCCTGCTTCTAGTACCTCTCCCCTCCACCCTCAATTTGTTTTGCATATGCTGCTAGGGTTGCCTTTCTAAAATAGATATGATCTTCTTGTCTAAAATACCTTTGAGGTTTAAGACCTCAGAGGGACCTATGCTTTAGGTCTCCTATTAGGCTCAAAGGCTAAAGTACAAAAACAACAACCTGGTTTCAGCCAAGTTTCCCCCAAGTTTGCTTCTTGCCATGCACTATCATGTGCCAAGTTTCAGTCACCCTGAATCTCTCTGTTCCCCAAACATGGCTCTCTGCCTGAGCATCTCTTCCCACTCCCTGAAATAGCCTCCCTCCCCTTTTCTATCTAATGAATTCCTGCCCTCTTCTGTGATGCCGTCTCGAAGACCCCGGGCGGAATCATATTCTCTGTCCTTTGAATTCCTACAAATCCTAACTTGTTCTGCCACTTACCTGTGGCCTAGTTTTCCCTACCTGGACTTTGAATTTCTCAAGGACAGGAGAATGTCTTATTTGTCTTTGGATCCTCAGGGCCTAGCACAGTGCTTTAGCATATAGTAGGTGCACATTAAATATGTTTTAACACACAATTCAATGTGATCTTAAGCTATAATGTGAACATAAGATATGGTAAATTCATTATCTAGCATTTCAAGAACCAACCAGGCTACAGATAGAATTGATAAATTAATTCTAAAGGTAATTTTCAAGCCTTATTTTCACACAGCTTTAAATCTCTCCATTCTTTCATTTCCCTCTTGTATGGGTCTTCATAAGCTTTGAGAAAAGACCAAAAAGGAGAAAACAGTCCTGCAAAAGAGAAAGGGTCTAGACAGCAAGTATCTGACCAAGCAAGGGTAAAATGTGTTGAACTCCTTGAACACGATTGCCTTAGTCATTCCTTGTTATGAAAGTTTAGTTTCCCCAACTAGATTCCAAGATATTTGGAATTATTTTGTTTGTTTCTTTTATATGCTTATTAAGTTAGCTGCTGATTTAATGACTGTTTCAGTTTTTTCTGGATAATGCCTATCACTAAGCTTTAATAATGAGCTAAAAATGGCAAGGAAAAATGAGGTGATTTTAAGATCTTAGTGCTTTGGGAAGGGACAGCTAGAGATAAACAAAATGTTCTATTGATGTTCTGCCCCATATTTATGTTAACAATTATTTTGTTCTGTTATGATATATATATAGACTTTCAAGTAGTATAATTTTCAGGCAAGATTCAATTGGATTTTTAATTTTTAAAAACTTTAAATTTAATTAATGCTGTTGCTAGCATGCATTAGGCATTCAAGAAATACTTTAAGCCATTCAACATTGACTTAATTAATGTTTAGAAATAATCAGAAACGTGAAAGGAAACTTGACTTTTATATTTTAAATTTCAGATTGTGCCACCTTCTCCCATTCAGGCTTCCACCAGTCACCTTTATCAAATCAAACAGGTAAGAAGTTTTGAGAAGCTGACAGCTGTTCATTAAAAAAAAGTAAATTTTATTTTTCTTTTAAAAAATATCTGTGGTTCAGTAATTCTAAGTGAGGTCACATGTGATTAAGTTTTTAATTCCAGGAATGGTTTCTCTAAAAACAAAAGAAAAAAAAAAAAAGGAAAAAGAATCCAAAACAACTAAGGAGCCCTCTATTTATTTGGGTTATTAACTATCTTAATAAACTGATAGTTTCCCGAAATACTGCATACTCTTTTACCTTGAATCTAATTTCTTTCAGGGATCTCAAAGAAGATGATGAATGCTATATATGAAAATTAATTTTCAGGTTCATAATAGCCATAGTTATCATGGTTTTCTTAAATCCCCAGATGAAGAATTTTTTTGACACATAAAACGGTCTCTATGCTATCATTTTGTGTTCACTTCTCAGTGATTTGAGTTCAGGGACACATTGTACCTCACTGTCTTATGTTTTGTGTGTGTGTGTGTGTGTGTGTGTGTTTAATAGCAAAAGCCTAATACACAATTAAATCTTTGATTTATCCAAGGATTAGCCACAGAACTCAAAAGATCAAATCGCCATTTCACCACAGGTGGTGGGATTATTTTTTTCACCCAACTACAAGCAGACTTTTGTTCAAGGCGGGGCCGCTTAACTGTTATGAAACACTTATTATTCACTTAGCACTATAATAGGTCTCATCTGTGGTCTCATTTCATCCCACAACAAACTTATAAGGTCAGAAACCAAAGATGGCAGAAATTTAGTAATTTACCAAATGTCCAGAGTTAGCAAGTGTCAAGCCAAGACTTAGCCCCAAATTACTGGATTCTTTTACAGCTACCCTCACCATGTTTTCAGTGGCACAAAACCCAGAGTATCTCGTAACCCTAGTTTTTTGTACTCCAGCTCCTGCTTCCTTTCCCTCTCTCCCTCTCTCCCTCACACCATGGCTTCCCTAACGCCCAGCTTATCATCCACTAGCAAGAAAGTATGGTTTAAAAGATCCTTTTACTTTTTAGTAAATAAGACATTCTTTTACTGTTTGTCTTTGTGAGTATGTAGCTATTTAAGAAATTCTTAATGAAAGAACCTAAAACTAGTAGTTAAAGGGACCTCTGGTTTATTCGTGCAATTTTTTTTTTGCTTCCCCTAAATTAGACCAAATATTTTAAAATTGATTACTACATGTTTCTATTTGATTATGAAGCTTGAAATCAGGACTAACTTAACTGGTTAGTAATATAAATTGTAAAGCAACTTACTTCCATAGTGACAGAATATATATTATAAACATTTAAAATGAAACACAAGTGTTGATCATTTTTTGTAATATATAGAAATAGTGAATCACTATGTTGTGCACCTAGAACTAACATAGTGTTGTAGGTGAATTATACTTCAGTAAAAAATAAATTAAAATTTAAAAAAATTAAAATTATAAAACAAAAATTAAAGCTAAAATAAAATAAAAAGAAACACAAGTAGAAAATGAATGAAACGGGAAAATAGAAATAACATTAACTTTCAATCTGGGTGCTGATTGAATGGAAAATTAAGACTTATTTTCAGCAGTTTAATTGTCTGATAGATATCTTAAGTTGCATATTTCTTTACATGCATTCTTTAGCCATGACTTCTTTTTAGCTGTTGAACTTAACCTTTTAAGTACAAAACAGAAATGTCTGTTTCTTGCCTCATTACATTCTGAACTTGCACTCTAATGACATTAACAAAGGCATTTATTTAATTTCATTTTGTAGCAAAATGGGGGAAATAATAGTAGCTACTTTATAAGATTTTTGTGAGGATGAAAGGATTTAATATATGTGTGGTTCCTGGCACACTACATTAAAAATCGTTTAATGGAAATTTTAAAACACGCAAAAAAGAACCCCCATGTATTCAATATCTAGCTTCAACTATTGATTACATTTTGTACGTCATTTTTCAACTATCCCCTTCTGTTTTGGGGTGAGGAGTGTGCTTTAAAATAAAACCCTAATATCTTTTTACCCTTAAATACTCAGTATGAATCTCTGAGGACTTTTTATTTCACATAATCGCAATACCATCATCACATCTAACAGAGTTATTCCTTAATTTTATCTAATAACCAGTCCAGGTTAAATTTTCCTGATTCTCAAAAAATGCCTTTTTCACTGATTCAAACATGTTCCAACCATGATCTTTTAGGTCTCTTATTTGAAATAGCCTTCCCCTCCTGTTTTTGTTCCATGACACTTCCTTATTGAAGAAACCAGGCCATTTGTCTTGTGGAAAGCCCCACATTCTGATTTTGCTTCCATGTGGTGCTGTTTAATATGCTCTTTTATCCCCTGTATTTTCTACAAACTGATTGATTATATTTGCTTCTATTCTAAAACAAGCACACAGCCCCAAGTCAATATTAGGTTCTGGGTCAACTTTTAAGTAAGGGTATGGTTTAAGTTGCCCTTTTCCTATTAGGCAGTTAATGGACAATTTCTTCTTCTTTTTTTAAAGGAAGCCATTTATTTACTTATTTATTTTTAAATTTATTTATTTATTTTTCGCTGTGTTGAGTCTTCCTTGCTGCACGCAGGTTTTTCTCTAGTTTTGCGGTGAGCGGGGGGCTACTCTTCGTTGCGGTGCGTGGGCTTTTCATTGCGGTGGCTTCTCTTGTTGCAGAGCACGGGTTCTAGGCACACGGGCTTCAGTAGTTGTGGCTCGCGGGCTCTAGAGCACAGGCTCAATAGTTGTGGTACACAGGCTTAGATGCTCCGCGGCATGTGGGATCTTCCTGGACCAGGGCTCAAACCCGTGTCCCCTGCATTGGCAGGCGGATTCTTAACCACTGCGCCACCAGGGAAGTCCCAGACAATTTCTTCTTGACTGTGGTTGTTAGTTGTTTTCTTGGTATTAGAGAGCTTGAGAACATCAAGCTAGAAGTTAATTTTCTTTTTTTATTTCAGCTTTGAGATATAATTGACATATAACATTGTCTAAGTGTAAGGTGTACAACGTAACAATTTGATATGTGTATATATTGCAAAATGATTACCATGGAAGTTGATTTTCTAAACATAGTAATTCTTCCTAAATATTCAGGAATTATTCTTTTTATGTCATTTTCCTTTCCTAATAGCAATTGAGCTTATATTTCAAGAGGTTTGAAAGCACTCAGGCTTTATTTCCCTCTCTCCCAGTCCCCTAAACAAATAACATCCCTGCAGAAATAGTTTGTGTATTAGTTTGCTAGGATTACCCTAACAAAGTAGCATAAACTGGGGGCTTAAACAGAAGTTCCTTTTCTCACAGCTCTGGGGGCCAGAAATCTGAAATCAAGGTGTTGGCAGGGTTAATTTCTTCGGAGGGCTGTGAGAAAAGGATCTGTTCCAGGCCTCTCTCCTTGACTTGTAGATGACCATCTTCATGTTCACATGGTATTCTCCTTGTACGAGTGTCTATCTCCAAATTTCTCCTTTTTATAAGGAATTAGTCGTATTGGATTGGGGCCCACATTAATGACCTTATCCTGACTTGATTACCTCTGCTAAGACCCTCTCTCCAAATAAAGTCATATTCTGAGGCACTGAGGGTTAGGACTTCAACATATGGATTTGAGGGGGGAACAGTTGAACCCATAACAGTTCGTTCACAACATATTATTCTATAACTTTACATTTATTTCCTGACTTGTTAAATAGAAAATAAAATCATTGGTACCCAATAAGAACTTGACTTTCTCTGTAGTGCCTTCAGTAAAATCAATTAAAAAATTATCTACTTACATACTACCTCTGCATTTCTAGCATCCCTTGTATTTATATCTTCACAAATATAAACTTTAGCCACACATTTTACAGTCTTCTTTTTATATTACCTAGTTTGGATAGATTAAACTGGGTTTAGACACAAATGTAGGGGAAGTTTATGAGATGAGGCCATTTAAAACAGATTATACCAGCTGGAGTACAGGGCATGATTGTGATAGGGACAATTTAGATATTGTCTGTAACATAAGGTGTGCCTGTGAGCTTTTTCTTCTTCTGGCCAGGTTTCACAGTTAGTCTGTCTTGTGGACTTTGTTACCATTTTTTAGTCCAGTAAAGCAATGACATTAGATTTCTGTGATTTGTTTTTGAGTTTTCCTTGGAACCTACAAAGTACCTAGTCTCTCTTATGAAGAGACCTTCTCTAAGGGAATAGCCTAGCTTGTTTTAAAAGAAATTTAATTTGATCTTAGTTTACAAATTGTTTCATTCTTTCAGCAAGCATTTATTGAGCAAGGTGCCACTGGGCAACTAAAAGCTTTCAAGCATACTCTCCTTCAGAGAGCAAAAGTGGGTAACTTCCCATTTTCATTTTTACCTTAGATACTAAAAAGTTGGAAGCTAAGTTCAGTGCTCAAGTACAACAACTGTCCTTAACCTAGGTTTCTAGCATACAGTACTCTTTGCTCTTGACAGTTACATGGCTCTTGACTTTGAATCCTTAATTTAACAATCTTATTTTATCATAAGCCATCTCATATCTGTTTTGGAAATAGGCAAGATGTAAATAATAAAAGTGTCAACCCACTTTTACTAATGATCCTAAAATAGCTGATGTTGGGGAATGCTCCAACTTTCAGTGGGAGAAACAATAAGCAAAATTCTGTCCTAGTTCTGGGAAAACTTGCTCTTTACTTGTGGATTGAGTGAATTACAAAATACTTTGAGCTTCTCCCTAGAGGAAAACATCTACATCTACGTCAATATTAAATGGAAGAACTATACTAACAATTACGTTTTGCTGAAAAGATTTACTGTTATTCCATTGTTTTAAAAGACTGATTAACTTCTTAAACTTCCTTTCCCACTTTCTCTCATTTTCCATAATGGCATCAAAATAGTCAGTCTCACAGTTTTAAGACTCAAAGCTCTAGGTTCATCTTCAATTCTTCCTTATTTTTCTACTGTATCCAATTAGGCATCTAATCCTATTAATTCTTCCTTGACAATATACCTTCTCTGTTCCCATGACTACTTCCTTCTGTCCCTTGGGTCCAGATTACTGTAATAATATTCTAATAGATTTCCTATCTCTGCTAATTTAATACGACTTCCACAACCAACACCAAAATATCTTTTTTAAAACATTATTTTCATCTTTTTCTCTCCCGTGCAAAAAGTTACAATGGCTTCCCATTACCTTCTGAATAATAAGAAGAAGAACAGCTAGGCTGTATCGAGCACTTACTATGTGCCAGGCCTTTTTTTGGTTTTGTTTTGTTTTTTTGTGGTACACAGGCCTGTCACCGTTGTGGCCTCTCCCGTTGCGGAGCACAGAATCCGGACGCGCAGGCCCAGCCGCCATGGCTCACGGGCCCAGCCGCTCCGCGGCGGGTGGGATCCACTCTCAACCACTGCGCCACCAGGGAAGCCCGTGCCAAACCTTTTAATAGGAACTGTACAACCATGTCATTATCTTTATTATTATCATTATCTTTATAGGATGAAGAAACTGAGGCTCAGGTTAAGTTGCTTGCCTAAGGTCACACAGGTAGTAAGTTATAGAGCTGGGATTTGACTCAGTTCTGTTTGGTTCCAAAACCAGTGGTCTTAACAGCTATGCTATTCTGCCCAGACTCTTTTTTTGTGTGTGTGGTACGCCGGCCTCTCACTGCCGTGGCCTCTCCGGTTGCAGAGCACAGGCTCCGGACGCGCAGGCCCAGCGGCCATGGCTCACGGGCCCAGCCGCTCTGCGGCACGTGGGATCTTCCCGGACCGGGGCACGAACCCGTGTCCCCTGCATCGGCAGGCGGACTCTCAACCACTGCGCCACCAGGGAAGCCCCCAAACTCTCTAAATTCAATCTCTTCAATTATTTAAGATCCCATAAATCTGGTGCTCTTACCAGTTTTCTTTCTCATTGCTCTGTAGTGCAAATTCCCTTTCAGCCAAACTAGTCTCACTACCGTCTAACCTGCCATATACTTTCTCTCCTCTAAACTTCTGTTCATATGGTTCCTTCTGCTGTTACAGCCTCCCCTCCACACTCTGCTTGTCCAGATTTTAAACATCTTTCAAGGCCGAGGTCAAATTTTAACTCACACAACTCACACCACTCTTTATCACAGACTATTTATGACATTTATTGTTTATACTGTAGACAATAATATTTAAACTCTTTTAATCACGCACTGCATCGATAAAAACTGAGCACATGCTTCCAATTTATGTATATTGTATTTGCATTATCGCCATATACTGTGAATATAGTGTATATTGAGTGCCAGCATATAATGTGAATCATAGAATATATGCAAGATTAGAGATATAACAAGGATGAGATGAAGATGAAATGATGTTTCTAGAAATTTTAAAATTTTATTTTATTAATTATAGATGATTATTGAGAGTCAATATGAATTCGTATTTCCAATGGTCTTGAGGATTAGAATTACTTTAGCCAGCTCCTTGACAAAGCAGATTAGCTCAGCATTGTGTTTTCAGTCAGGTGGCTGATGAGAAGCTGTGCCAGGAGAGGCTGTTGTCTGCACAGACTTGCATTACTAATCTCTGTCCAAGGTTTCTCGTGGGAATCTTGTTAAGGTACTTGTCCATTTTGTGGTGCTTGGTTTAGTTAAAACTAGATAATATATCCATATGCCCGCCTAACCTGGCACAGGCGAACTGCAATTAGTTGTACTTAGCTAAGGGCCAAAAAAGTGCTCTTCTCTCACAAGATCTTTGGACCCTATGGGCTGAGTGAGGGCACCAGTGTCAATCTGTATGTCTAATATCGGCAAGCTTTCATTTCTTACTGTCTTGGATTTTAAAGTATATAAATTAAATTTCTATTTTTTTTCTTTTATCTTCTCAGTGGATCATCTTGTATACCTCCTGGGCTATGACTATGCTTACTTTGGAGACTGACTAAATGTATATAATAAAGCTTGTCTTTCCAATATGATTCTAGGCCTCTTTAAGGGAAGGCTCATCTGCTTATTTCATGTTCCACATAATATTTAGCACCATATTTCCCCAGCACCATCCTAAGTTCTTCATTATTTGTGAAGTATGTTTTTAGGAACGCCAGGATGAATTTGGACTATGGGTTGTTGAGGTTTTCTTTAACCATTTAACCATTTTTAAGACTACAATTCAATGGTATTAAGTACATTCACAATGTTGGGCAGCCGTCACTACTCTACACTTCCAGGACTTTTTCATCATCTCAAACAGAAACTCTGTACCCATTCAGCAGTAACTCCCCATTCTACCCTCCCACTCCTGTAACCTCTGTTCTACTTTCTGTCTCTATGCATTTGACTATTCTAGGTAGCTCATATAAGTGGAAGCATACAATATTTGTTCTTTTGTGTTTGGTTTATTTCACTTAGCATAATCTTTTCAAGATTCATTCATATTGTAGCATGTGTCAGAACTTCATTCTTTTTGTGGCTGAATAATATTCCATTGTATGTACATACCATCTAAAAAAACTATTCATCTGGTAAAGGATACCTTTTGGCTATTGTGAATACTGCTGCTATGAACACTGGTATACAAGTATCTGTTTGAGTCCCTGCTTTCAATTCTTTTGGGTATATACCTAGGAATGGGATTGCTGGATCATATAATAATTTAATCTTTAACTTTTTGAGAAACCAATTTTTTCCCAGAGTTTGCACCATTTTACATTTCCACTAGCAATTCATGTTCCAGTTTCTCAGCATTCTCAACAACACTTTTTTTTTTCCCCCATATTTTAAAATAATGCCTATCCTAATGCGTGTAAAGCGGTATCTTATTATGGGTTTGATTTGCATTTCCCTAATAACAAATGATGTTGAGCATCTTTTCATATGCTTATTGGCCATTTCTATATCTTTTTTGGAGGAACATTTATTTAAGTCCTTTGCCCATACAGATTTTCCTCAACTTGTGATGGGCATATGTCCCAATAAACCTATCGTAAGTTAAAAATATCCTAAGACGAAAATGCATTTAATGCAGCGAAATTCTGAACATCATAGCTTAGCCTAGCCTATCTTAAACGTGCTCAGAACACTTACATTAGCCTACAGCTGGGCAAAGTCATCTAACGCAAAGCCTATTTTATAATAAAGTGAGGACTATCTCATGTAATTTATTGAATACTGTCCTGAAGGTGAAAACAGAATGGTTGTCTGGGTACAGAATGGTTGTAAGGGTATCGGATGTTTACCCTCGTGATTGCATGGCTGACAGGGAGCTGCCATGGCTGCCGCTGCGCAGCATCACGAGAGAGTATCTGACTGCGTATCACTATCCCGGGAAAAGGTCAAATTCAAAATCGAAGTAGGGTTTCTACTGAATGCACATTGCTTTTTGCACCATCGTAAAGTTGAAAAATTATAAGCAGAACCATTGTAAATTGGGGACCATCTGTATTTCAAGTGAGGTGTTTTGTTGTTGTCACTGAGTTGTAGGAATATTTTATAAATTCTGGATATTAGCCGTTTATCAGATATATGATTTGCAAACATCTCCAATTCTGTGATTGTCTTTTCACTGTCTTTTGATGCAGAAAATTTTTAATTTTTATGAAGTTCAATTTATTTTTTCTTTTGATACCTGTGCATCATATCCAAAAAATCATTGCCAAATCCAATGACATGAAGCTTTTGCCCTATGTTTTCTTCTAAGAGTTTTATAGTTTTAAGTCTTAAGTTTAGGTCTTTGATCCATTTTGAGTTAACTTTTGTATATGGTGTAAGGAAAGTGTTCATTCTTTCACATGTGGATGTTCAGTTTTCCAGCACCATTTGTTGAAAAGACCGTCCTTTCCCCACTGAATGGTCTTGGCATCCTTATTGAAAATCAATTGACTATATACACAAGGGATTATTTCTAGGCTCTCTCTATTCTATTCCATTGGTCTATATGTCTATCCTTATGCCAGAACCACACTGTTTTGATTACTGTAGCTTTGTGTAGTGAGTTTTAAAACCAGGTAGTGTAGTCCTCCCAAGTTTATTCTTTCTCAAGGTCATTTTTCTATTTTGACAGAAAATGCCATTGAGATTTTGATAGGGGTTGCCTTGCATCTGTAAATCACTTTGGGTAGTATTGCCTTTTTAACAATATTAAGTCTTCCAATTCACAAACACAGGATGTCTTTCCATATGCGGGTTATTTTTTTAAGTAACTATTTATGTGAAAAATCCTTGCATACTTATAAGAAGGTCAAACAATATGGTAAAGTACAGAGAAAGAAAGAACAAACTGTCACAGATCTCACTACTCATTGATAAGTACTGTTAACTTTTTGGGGAACATCCTTCTGAGCACCTCTCATTTACAGTTTTACATAAAAAGCATTTGTGGTTTTTTCCTACTTAATATGTAATACATGTTTTTCAATGTCAATGACTAGATTTAAATCATGCTTGTACCATCATTTGCTTAAGCAAACCCATGCTGAAAGACATTTAGTTTGTTGGACTGTGAGTACTATTTGTTAATATCATAGTATTAATAGTTGGAAAAATAGTTTAATGTTTAATGTTTGATATTTTCTCTTTTGAATGAAGAAAGGTACAAAGTTTTTCATCTAATCAATTCCTGCATATCCAATGTACTATAATGCATAAGTAATAGATCTCTGGTGTGGTAGTTGCCACAATGAAAAGTAGAGAACCAGACACTTGTTTAGAGATTTGTTTATACTCTAGCTCTACTATGGCCCAGTGAATAATGATAAATGTACAGCCAAACGGAGTAAAACTTTGTAAAATCATAGGAACAGGGCATTCAGTTTATCCTCACGTTCTCACCTTTCAGGAAGAAGCCATGGATTTAATGAATAGGGAAACAATGCATGAGTGGTGAGTAGTGTGCATTGAATTACTATTCTGATCATATTCAGTTATATCTTTTTTTTTTTTAGATAGGTAAACTTCAGTACTGATATCTTTTCTTTTGTAAGGAGGTACAAACCGCAATACAGATGGGTCAATCTTGGAGAGAAACTTTCAAGTATGGTATGGTATGGTATTAGCACTTCAATTTTGTAGAACATTTGAAATTTTTACTGATTTTTCATGTTAGCACTACCTAGTTTTGCTGTAATTTCTAGAAATTTAAACTCTCATTTGAAACTAAAATTATATATGCTGCATAATTTTTTTTTTTTTTTTGCGGCCTCTCACTGCTGTGGCCTCGCCCGTTGCGGAGCACAGGCTCCGGACGCATAGGCTCAGCGGCCATGGTTCACGGGCCCAGCCGCTCCGCGGCATGTGGGATCCTCCCGGACCGGGGCACGAACCCGCGTCCCCTGCATCGGCAGGCGGACTCTCAACCACTGCGCCACCAGGGAAGCCCTGCATAATTTTTTATTGCTCTTAAGAAACAGTTTATGATTTACCCATAAAAATAACTAATTGTTTGAGAGTGGGGTTCAAAGTAAATAGTTGTCTGATACAAAACCACTGTTCCTGTGGATCAACTTCCTCTCTGTCCTTGTGAGTCTAAAAAAAGTTCAGTTGTGCTGGTTGAATTGCTTAGATAATGAAATGATAAATGATTTCACTCCCTTCTATGTAATTTATTAACTATATATTAGAGTTTTAAACCACAGGCCATGGATTTACTAGGAAAATACTGCATTTTTATGCCTGTAATACATATACTCCTACTAACATTTTAACGTACAGCCTTTCATTTAAACATGTTTGGAATGTAGTTACATTCCTTGCTAACATTTTTTTATGTCCCTATACATATTATAATTACTAAGTTGTGGTAGTTGAATGATGTCTAGGGTTCTTTTCCATGGACATCTCAGATAATGACAAAATAAGAACTGAGCTGAAATTTGAGTAGAAGAGACTCTGGTTAGATGTCAGCTTCTAGATTTGGGGATTATTAGGTAGGGAAATGGGTCATCAGCAGAAGCAGTGACATCTTATTTTCTTTTGAGCCCTGAGCGCCTTAGACGGCCATCTATTCCTGATTTAGGAATAAGTCCTGAAGAATGAGTAGATAACCTCTGGAGCCTGTCACTTTTCATGTTTTGGTGCTAATACAATTTATAGAGGCTCTTGGATTCCCTTAACTGACCCAATTCTAATTAATTTAAGTGTTGGTGTGAGTGAGTAAATCTGCAAGTGTGTTAGAAAGAGGAAAGAAACATGTAGTATAACTTTACTTGTGTCTTGGAGAAGAAAAGAACACGTTTTAAAATCCTGAATTGTGTGGTCCTGATTTTGTCCACATAAAATCGATAAACATTTTTATAGCTGTTTATTTTTGTTGTCCCATTTGTATCTTAGTTCTAACCAAAGCTTTTTTGATCCTTTTCTGGACACAGCATTGTAGTTTTCAATAACAAAGCACAGGTCAAACCCAAAGAGAAAGACTGAAATTTAGGATTTGTGTATATGTTAGGTATTGCTCAATATTGAGTAGTCACATTCTAGGTCTTTTATGGGTGCTAGGGAAGCCCCTTATCCGGCATGTAACTCTCTTTCCCAAAAGGCAAAAGGTGCCTTTGCTTATTGAAGTGAATCTTGGGTTCCCTGCTTGCTTTAGGATGGTGAGAGCTCCATGGTACAACCACTGAGGCAGTAAGGATTCCCTTCCCCGTGCCATAGCTATCACCCTCACACTTGATAATTAAGCAATAGGTGCTACAATTGGACACTGCTTATAAAGAGTAACAACGATTTAGAGAAACCACCTTCTCCAAAGTCCACTGCCTTTAATTCTAGCACTCCCAACAGCTTCTCTCACCAGGGCAACTGAGAAGGTAAGAAAGGAGTGTCTAAAAGTCTGTGTCCCTTGAAATACTTATAAAACATCAATGTTTCACCACCCAAATCTTTTGGGGGATACATTTTGCTATAGTTATAGCTGATTCAAAATGGCAGTTTTCCCTTTCATTTCTTAAACTCTTATTTACATATTACAAAAGTCACCAACCTTTAAGTATACGATTTGATTAATTTTGGTAAATGTGTACAATCCTGTAACCATAACCATAATCGAGATATAGAACAGTTTCTGACACTCTGAACAGTTTCCTCCTGATCTTTCGCACTTGATCTCCTCCCCCCCACCCCTGCCCACCCTAGGAAAGCCCTGATCTGCTTTCTGAGAAAAGTTATACCGGGTTCAATCCCTGGTTGGGGAACTAAGATCCGCAAGCTGCACGGCGCAGCCAAAAAAAAAAAAAAAAAAACTTGTAGCTCCAGGTTCTGTGACAACCAAACAAGTAATGCCTTTTCAGCTAAATTAAAATATCATTGTTTTATCTTTTTTTTTTTTTTTTGCGTTCACTGTTGTGACCTCTCCCGCGGCGGAGCACCGGCTCCAGACGCGCAGGCTCAGCAGTCATGGCTCACGGGTGCAGCCGCTCCGTGGCACGTGGGATCTTCCCGGACCAAGGCACGAACCCGTGTCCCCTGCATCGGCAGGTGGACTCTCAACCACTGCGCCACCAGGGAAGCCCATTTTATATTTTTGAAAAGAATCAACTAAGAACGTGTGAGAACATGTGACCATATGAAGAATCAGTAATTCGTTAACCCTGTCTGAACATAGCCTTCCTCTGACCCAGCTTGTTCATAAGGATCAGAGCTAACTCTCGAATGAACAAATGAACGTTTGACAACCATACCCCCTCATTCACTGATGATTTTCACCTTGTCTTAAGGCAGGTCACAGCCAGGACTACAGGTCCTTCTAGCTTTTTTTCCCCACAACTTGGGAAAATCCTGAATCCTTATAAGTTACAAGACAGTTTTCTGTCCTGGGGCTTTCCTGTTTTTACCTAGATTTAGAGAAAAGCAATGAAATCATGTGATGTGGGATACTACATAGAGTTCTCTTTTAGTGTATATCCTTAGATCTGTTATAACGAAATAGTCACAGCTGATCTTGTTCAAATGTTTACTTGTAACGATTATAATTTTATTTTAGAAGAAGTCAAAGTCCCAACCAATACTATTAGACCAAGTATCCTTGGACCATTAAAAAGAAAAGGTACTTTTATCTACCAACAGAAATAAATATAACTTTATTTTCATAAGATATCACATAAAGTCAAGTATTACACAAAAATTCATTTTAAAGGATTTATTTATTAAAAACATATTTGATAAATTACTAGAGGCCTTTTGTTTTACTGAAATGAAACTATGTGTAAACATTTTGAAAGCTATAAAGGGCCATATAAATGTGAATTGAAAATTTTAATTCCAGTTTAGTCAACTATTAGGATTTTCATTATATAATTCGCCAAGCTAGCTGCCTTAAATACTTTCTGAAACAAGGTGGGGAATGAATGAATAAATAGAGTGATTCAGCCATCAAGTATTCTCCTGAATCTCAACCCCTGACCTGCCCACCGCTACACGTACACGTTGATATCATATGAATAAGTTGACACAAATTAGATCCACTTACAGCACTAAAAATATATGCTAAAGTGTATCTTGATGTTTCAGTTGTTTATGGGGGTTCTGTTTGGTTAAATATATGGAAAATGATCCATCTATTCAGTAATAAAAGGGCAGGGAAAGAACAGAAGTGGTTTTTTTTTTTTAAACTGCCACAGTTCTGGATCCCCTTTCTCGCCCCTGCCTCACTAAGCTATGTACTTCTTCCATTTTTTGATATGACTACTGAATTATAGGCTTAATACAAAGTTAAACTATAATAGGGAGGGAAAATGGATAAATGGGAAAGGAGATTAAACTTAAAATGTATATTTGTGAAAAATCCATTAAGATGGGAAAGAAGGAGGAGAAAGAAGAAGAAATGGAAGGGGAGGGGGATGGGCAGAGGTAGGGGAAGAGCAAAACTAGAGGGAAGGAAACTGAAATGCACTGCAGTGTTCCCTGCGTTTGGCATGAATTAATGGCAGTCTTCCTAACAACATACCTAACTCAGCGTGTACTCGTTATATTCTAAGACTAAGAGGAGATCAGTTCTGGAAAATGCTCTTTTACAGACTAAGCACATTGTTTTATGGCAATGGATCAGTGACCTAGCTTAAGTGTCTTTTACCTGTGCTGTGAAGTTTGGGCTAATGTTGAAAAAACATTCAAATGTATTAGCAGTTGAAGAGCTGTTAGGAAGTTGTGGGGGGTGGTCATTTGAGTATTTAAAATCAAATACGCTTAAATTAAAGACAGTGTTTTACTAAATTAAAATAATTCTTCTTTTAAGATAACACATAAAATGTTTCATGACATTGAAAATGCCTGGAATTTTCTTAGAATTTATGATTTTAAAAATTGTTTTTATATTTCAATTTTGACATAATAGACTTGGTTTCCATCCAGTGTTTTGGTGGATGTGGCATGTTCCACATGAGCTTCTTGTACCTGGTTTTCAGCTGCTCTGGAAGTTGACTGCCTCATTTCTTTGAGGTGTCCCTAAGAACTCCAAAGCAAATTCTATAAGTACCACACGGTCTATATGTTTTAAGTCAGACCCTCCCAAACATAGTCTATACAGATCTGGTCAAAGTTTATCTGACTTTCCAGATGTAATAACAGATTAAACAGAAATTTAATTTTAATTATATATTTTGGAATATGAATATTTATTTGGGAAACAACAAAGTATGTCCGATTATCACATTAATACAAGTGAAATGTGGGGAAAGATGGTATAAAAAATCAAAAAGAGGTCCTGGGGGGAAAAAACAAAAAAGAATGAGGACTCTCTGTAAAGTGGAGGAGAAATAAGTGTTAGAGTCTCCAAGCATATGAAGGCATATTTTATGGTGATTAGCAGCAATTACTTCCGTTGGGAACAAGCAAGAAAAAATAAGGCTTCAAGTGGGAATTCTGAGAAATCTACAGAGATTGGGCAGCTGTAAATATTGTTTTACGAGTAATAATGATTTTAGCAAAGAAAATTTTAACTTTCTTCTATGATGAATTTGTTTTGATTTGTCTTGTTTTTAATTTAAACCAAAAAGGAGGGATGAGTAGTTTTTCCATAATGGTGTAAGTGTATCTGGCATGGGATAATACCTAGACCTCTTTCGAGCTTTATGAGCCATGATTATACTCCTAAGGAAGGTCTGGAAATCTCTATTCCTAGGGATATTTTTTAATGAGTAGGTGACCGTAGTGTTTTATCATTCAAATATATTCCACCATAGAAGTTATGGACTTGATCGTCAGTTTTACTCACATCCAGACATGGTTATCACATGAATGTGTAACATTTACTTCAAAGTGAAGATTATAGCAATGTGGTTTTTTGAGATTAAGTTTTTCTTCCTAATCTTTGAAAACGTATTTATTTTGTTCATTGTATGCTGTAAAAAAAAATCGATCTATTTAGTTCATTGTGTATGTTTAGCAAAATAAGGAGAGCAGTAACTTAAAGTTTTAAATAAGGAATGAGATTAAATTATGGTACATCCTTACTACATAGCTATATAAACTTATGTTGTAGAATTTAGTTACTAATATGAGAATAATTGTAATCATTAAAAACAAAAAGTAGATTACATATCAGTATTATATACAGTGCAAATCCAATTTTGTTTAAAAAATCATGTATACACACATTCAGGAATTACTGAAAAATGGTTATCTCTGGATAATGGTGATGTAAAATTTTTTTCCTTTTGTTTTTCTGTATTTTATAAATTAATTGCAATGAACAAGTTTTACTTTTGCAATTAAAAGCATAATAAACACGTTAGACAAAATATATCTACCTTGATCTGCATTTTCATCATAGGTGAAATGACATTTGAACATCAGCCAAAGAGATTTTTCCAAGACACAACCAACGTGCTTTCTTCTGATACTACCCAGCTGTCTGATAGGAATGTATTGTGAGTATTAACATGAGATTTTAAGCATTCATTGGCCACTTTAACTTGGTTTTTAAGTCTACTTTGGTTATTGTATATACCCAGAAGTATGGTACATTATGAAATATTTTTAGAAGTTTTAAAAAATGAATATCCCAAATGGATACTATTATTAACTTTAGTTCTTCTCCCCAACACTTACGTGTGGCATTAATATATGGTAGACACATTTTTATTTTATATCTTTATTGGATTATAATTGCTTTACAATGTTGTGTTAGTTTCTGCTGTACAACAGAGTGAATCAGCTATACGTATACATACATCCCCATATCCCTTCGCTCTTGAGACTCCCTCCCACCCTCCCTATCCCACCCCTCTAGGTGGTCACAAAACACGGAGCTGATCTCCCTGTGCTCTGCGGCTGCTTCCCACTAGCTAGCTATTTTACATTTGGTAGCGTATATATGTCAGTGCTACTCTCTTACTTCATCCCAGCTTCCCCTCCCTGCCCATGTCCTCAAGTCAATTCTCTACGTCTGCGTCTTTATTCCTGCCCTGCCACTAGGTTCACTGGTACCGTGTTTTTAGATTCCACGTATGTGCGTTAGCATACGGTATTTGTTTTTCTCTTTCTGACTTACTTCACTCTGTATGACAGTCTCTAGGTCCATCCACCTCACTACAAATAACTCAGTTTAGTTCCTTTTTATGGCTGAGTAATATTCCATTGTATATATGTGCCACATCTTCTTTAGCCATTCATCTGTCGATGGACATTTAGGTTGCTTCCATGTCCTGGCTATTGTAAGTAGTGCTGCAATGAACATTGTGGTACATGACTCTTTTTGAATTATGGTTTTCTCAGGGTATATGCCCAGTAGTGGGATTGCTGGGTCGTATGGTAGTTCTATTTTTAGATTTTTAAGGAACCTCCATACTGTTCTCCATAGTGGCTGTATCAATTTACATTCCCACCAACAGTGCAAGAGGGTTCCCTTTTCTCCACACCCTCTCCAGCATTTATTGTTTGTAGATTTTTTGATGATGGCCATTCTGACCGGTGTGAGGTGATACCTCATTGTGGTTTTGATTTGCATTTCTCTAATGATTTGTGATGTTGAGCATCTTTTCATGTGTTTGTCAGCAATCTGTATGTCAACTTTGGAGAAATGTCTATTTAGGTCTTCCGCACATGTTTAGATTGGGTTGTTTGTTTTTTGATATTGATCTGCATGAGCTGCTTGTATATTTTGGAGATTAATCCTTTGTCAGTTGCTTCATTTGCAAATATTTTCTCCCATTCTGAGGGTTGTCTTTTCGTCTTTTTTATGGTTTCCTTTGCTGTGCAAAAGCTTTTAAGTTTCATTAGGTCCCAGTTGTTTATTTTTAATTTTATTTCCATTACTCTAGGAGGTGGGTCAAAAAGGATCTTGCTGTGATTTATTAGACACATTTTTAGAAGTGGGGTTTGGCATTATATTAAGAGGTATTAGAGATATACATTAAAATGCAATCTTGGAAAAGATTCATCTTCTGCCCCATTTTTTCTATCTTGGACTTTTGAGTGCTTTGTTAGGCTGAGCATATTATTTAAAAGTGTGCCAGTAAAGCCAGTTTTAATGATCAAAGTGGGAAATACAGTGAATGGATTTTTATTACTGTTACTGTTGGTTTTGTTCTACTGCTCTTATGAAACTGCTCTTGTAACTAATGCCAATTCTTTGCTTCACATATTTTGCATTCATTTGTAGACAAAGCATAGAGATCTCTTGAATTCTGTTATCAATGAGTGGTATTTTCTTTTTCCTAGTCTATCTTCAGATGCTCTTGATAGAAACAGCAGGAGTGCAGGGTCTTCTCATAATTCACCAGCTAAAATCAGCACTGTCACAAACTCTCCTGTGTTGCCTTCTGATTTTAGTTCTCTATTCTAGCAGATGAGCTTTTAACTAAGTGGTTTACCTATCCCAAGACTCTCCCCAATAGAGCAATGGAGAAACAAACATGCACTCACTTGATCTCTCTCTCTCTCTCTCTCTCTTTCTCTCTCTCTCTCTCTCTCTCTCTCTCTCTCTCTCACACACACACACACACACACACTAGAGTAATAACAGGATTGTATGTGGTATAATTTAGACTATTTCCTATTTATCTTTTTTTCTCAATCTCCTAGAATTCTGTTTATCTATAGAACTTGCATGTCTAATTCCTGGGTATGCCCTTAAAAGCAATGTAGTAATACTTTCAAAGATGTTTTCTAAATAAGAAGTATGTCGACGATACAATCATACATCTTCAAGTTGCTAATGTATAGAAATATGCTGTACCTTAATTTTTTAAAAAAATAATTGAGAGCTCTATCTATGTGAATAAAAAAATAAATAAAATTATACATTCTAATGAAATATTATTGTCCCATTAATCAACAGGTAAAATAGTTTTTCAAATTATGTACTGAATATTTATGCTAGTTTTTAATATTTTCAGTAATTGTTAGTTTCCATTTGGTAAGGAAAAATCATCTATCAAAAGCAGTTTTAAAATTAAGCTAGTTATACTGTATTGATCCAAGGATTGCCAATTTTTGACATGAATCCTTGGATGTGTAATTTGTTGGGGAGGAATAGGTAGGGGAAGCAAGATGAATGGAAGCTAATTGAATAGCAAGAAAATAATATGTAATTGGGGCTTCACTCAATTTGTACTTAACCTGGTTTTCCCTGATCAATTTTGTACTCTAATTAAGTGTGGAAAAAAGACAATGTGGATAAATTGTGGTGCTTTACATTTCTATGAATTACCTTTTATTTGTCATCATGACTACTGATTTGATTAAATATAGGCTTAATATGTTAGGGCTTTTCTGCAGGAACCATGCACTTCCAGTTGTTCCCAAAGGGCGAAAAAGGTTTGTTTAAAACCCTATTTTTGGGCTTCCCTGGTGGCGCAGTGGTTGAGAGTCCACCTGCCGATGCAGAGGACACGGGTTCGTGCCCCGGTCCGCGAAGATCCCACATGCCGCGGAGCGGCTGGGCCCGTGAGCCAGGGCCGCTGAGCCTGCGCGTCCGGAACCTGTGCTCCGCCGCGGGAGAGGCCGCAACAGTGAGAGAGGCCCGCGTACCGCAAAAAAACCCCAAAAAGACAAAAAAAAAACCCCAATTTTCTATTCAAAATCTTAAGGATTTTTTAAATAAGAAAAATCATGTATTAAAAATTTTAAATATAAAGTAAGTGCTTTAGGTAATTGGGGGTAGTATTAGCATTTTGAAAAATAGAAATGTATCTTCATGAAATGAAGTTGAAAATTGGTTTAAATTTCCTCAGCTAATTAAGGTAGGAGTGGCTATCTAAAATATTTATTAAACGTTTTTCGTTGTCATTAGAAATAGTCAGAATTATGGAAATCTGATGTAGGTATATTCCACATGGGAAAAAGATTGGCATCAAGAATTTTTTGACAATAGCCCTGATGGAATTGATTAGAATGTATATATACGGCGGGGGGAGAGTCTATTCACCTATGAATAAATGAAACTGAATATTTCTGAGATGACTGGAATCATATGGTCTCCTGAAACTGGGATAGGATTCTACAAATTGGCTAAGGACAAGTGAACTATCAATATTGCCTTTGTTACTTAGCTTCTTGCCAGACTTTAGTGGACGAGTTGTGAACATAAAAGGGGGCCCTCATGGAATGAGGTGTGATTGCAGTGGTGTTCCTTGATGAAATTATAGATCAAAGACAGAAAAAAGGTCTCCATGTGCTATCGACACTTCAGCAAAAAAAGTTTTTCAGAATGATCAAGTACAAAGACTAAGGATGGAGAAAGTGAACAATGGGGGTGAGACTACTACTCATTTGTGTGAGGAACTTTCATCAATCAATCTTGGTAATCTTGGCTATCTCATCTCAATATACTTTTTTTTTCAACTCAGACAATTTCTTTCACTCTATTTGGTTAGTTTTTATTGTTTTAGCTGAATCCTAGGATGCCACAATCACTATAATATGCTCAGAATTGAGGACTTTGAGTGGTTTTCCATTCTGTTACCTTTCGAGCTTGTGTATTGGGGGGCTCCATATCTTAAATGATTTTCCATTTATTAATTTTCAGACCAAAGCAATTCTAACTTTTACATGAGGTATTTTGTGGTTGATTTTTTTTTTTTTTTTTTTTTTTCTTTAA